TAATCAGCCCCCCAAATGCGTATCTTTTAATACCATCTTGTAGAGAGTGAGGATTTCTTTTTTGTTCTTTCTTTTCTTCCTTTCTTTCCTTTCTTTCTTTCTTCTCTCGAGCATCTGTGGAGTGTCCGACATCCTCAAAGTTCTCAGCAGCATCACCTCCAGCTGGTCCCTCAGCCCTTCTTCCCCACCAGGATGCTCTTCCAGAAACTTGGTCAAATCGTACACCTTGTGGCGCAGATCAGCCAGGTGCTTTTGCTATGATTGTGCTTCTGAATCTCTTCCAGGGTGTAGGACTTCACCTCCTCGTCGGACTGCTCCACCATCTCTGCGTGCAGCGAGCCAAACCCGGCACACTCAGCCTCCAGAGAAGGAGAATGCACATCCCAGCAGGGGCCGACCTGAACGCCCCTTTCTTTCTCTCTCTCTCTCTCTCCCTCCCTCTCTCTTTCTTTCTTTTTTTTTTTGAGTCAGAGTCTCACTCTGTCGCTCTCAGTAAGTGCTATGGCGTTACAGCTCACAGCAACCTCAATCTCTTGGGCTCAAGCAATCCTCTTGCCTCAGCCTCCCAAGTAGCTGGGACTATAGGTGCCGGATGGAAGACAAGCGTTTCAGTAGGTGAGAACCAAATGAAGCTCAGCAGTTGGGCTTCTCTCTTCTCTTGTGGAGGAAATTGGTTTTAGCTCCTCCCCTTCCCTCCTGACCAATTACTTAGCTGGGTGTACTGTAAAGTAGAGTTTACATTAAACTGTTTCCATGGCAGCCTCACACACCACATCTCTGGTTTTAATGCAATCATGTACCTTTTCCAATTCAAGCTCCCCAAAAAGTAACTTTTCTTTAAAGTACACAGTCAGAACCTAATAAGGTCTGTAAAGAGAGAGAAAATGTTGCTCACCATAGGGATTCCTTGATAGAGAACATAAGATGAATTCCTGCAAAAAAATCTTTCATAAATCATGGTTATTTACATTGTGCTAAAGCCATTTGCAGTCTGCCTAAGAAAGTCTGTTGAATTATAAACGCCAGAGAGCACGACCTGCTATGCACTAGACACTGGTCTGAGCACTTTGCATCTAGGAATTGTCTCATTTAATTTGATGCTGGTTGCATCCTGCCGAGATTTTTGCCCACAGATTGTCATTAGGGCCACTGGACATCTGCTTCCATGGAAAATGTTAAGTGTTCTTTTTTTTTGAGACAGAGTCTCAAGCTGTCGCCCTGGGTAGAATGCCGTGGCATTACAGCTCACAGCAACCTCCAACTCCTGGGCGCAAGCGAGTCTCCTGCCTCCACTTCCCAAGTAGCTGGGATTACAGGCGCCCACCACAATGCCTGGCTATTTTTTTTTTTTTTTGGTTGCAGCCCGTCATTGTTGTTTGGTGGGCCAGGGCTGGATTTGAACCCGCCAGCTCAGGTGTACATGCCTGGTGCCTTAGCCGCTTGAGCCACAGGCAGCGAGCCACGTGTTCTTATAAGTATCTGCTAGTAACAGTAACAGCTGCCAGGAGATTTGGCTACTTTGCCTCAGTTAATCATTAGAACACCCTTAGGAGGCGGTACCAACCCCTATTATGTATGGAGAAACTGAGGCTCAGGGAGGCAAAGGAACTTGCCAGCACAGCTAGAACATTGCAAAGTTGGAATTTGAACCCAGGTAGGTTTTGTCCCTGTCTTAGTCTGTTCAGGCTGTTATAAGGAAATACCACAGACTGGGTAGTCAATAAACAATAGAAATTTATTTCTCAAAGTTCTAGAGCAGCGGTTCTCAACCTGTGGGTCCAGGGTCTCAACCCCACAGGGGTTGCCTAAAATCATCACATACGGCCCGTACAAAAACAGGTGTATGAAAATAATTTTATGGTTGGAGGTCACCACAACATGAGGAACTGTATTAAAAGGTCACGGTATTAGGAAGGTTGAGAACCACTGTTGTAGAGGCTAAGAAGTCCAAGTTCAAGGCACTAGAAGATTCAGTGTCTGGTGAAGACTTAT